TGGTAGTGGTCGATCTCGAAGTCGGTCGCGCAGACGGTCTTGAGGTCGAAGGGGCGGCGTTCGACCTCGCTCGATTTGAGGGCGTGGTGGCCCTCGCCCTCGGAGGAAATGAGGCCGGCGCCGTAGAGCTTGAGCTTGTTGTCCTCGTTGATGAGGCCGAACTCGACGGTGAACCAGAAGATGCGGCCGAGCTGGGTGAGCTTGGTCTTGTCGTCTGTGTGCAGCGCGGCCTTGCCGTAGGTCTGGAGGAACTCGGCGAAGACGGGGTCGGCGTGGAGCGGGACGTGGCCGAAGACGTCGTGGATGATGTCCGGCTCGGGGAGGTAGTCCATCGATGTCTTGGGTCGGACGGTGATGGTGGTCGGGAACTGGCGCTGGGCGAGGAAGGCGAAGAATGACTTGCCGGGGAGGTAGCCGGGGACGCCGTGGGAGGACCAGCCGGTGATGCTCTTGAGGTTGTCGTTGACGGTGCGGAGGTCGGGGACCTTTCCGTCGTTGATGCCGATGGCCTTGATGCCGCTGAGGAAGATGTTGGAGCCGACGTCGACGAGCTGCTCCATGCGCTTCTGGTAGAGGTAGTTCCAGACCTCGTGGTTCTCGTCGGTGTAGGCCTCGTAGTGCTGGGTGACCTTCATGCGGTCGATGTCGATCTCGTCCGACGGGAGGTCCTCGGACTCCATCGCGTACTTGAGCGCGGCGCGGCACTGCTCGTTGTCGATCACGGGGCTTTCGAGGGCGGATTTACCGGGTTCCATGGGGACCTCCGTGGGATGGCGTTCGTGGGGCGACGTCCGTGCCCCCTGTGCGTTGCATTATACCCGTCGCGCGGGGCTTGAATCCGGAGCGGGCGTCCGCGATCAGGCGTCGGCGAGGGCGTTGGTCTTCGTGACGAGGGCTTCGAGAACGTCGAACGCGTCGTTGGTCGCGCCGGGACGCGTGATGTGCCCCACTTTTCGTCCGGGGCGGGGCTGCTTGGCGTAGTCGTGGAGCCTCGCCCGCGTGTCCTCGAGGAGTTGCGCGGCCGGGGGCATCGCGCCGATGCAGTTGAGCATGGCGCAGCCCTCGGGATCGGTGCAGGCGGTGTCGCCGAGCGGCCAGCCGAGGATGGCGCGGAGGTGGTTCTCGAACTGGGAGGTGCGTGCGGCGTCGATCGTCCAGTGGCCGGTGTTGTGGACGCGCGGGGCGATTTCGTTGGCGACGAGCGCTCCGTTCTCGACGAAAAACTCGATGGTGAGGACGCCGACGTGGTCGAGCTCGTTGAGGATCTTGGTGGCGTGGGCGACGGCGGCGTCGGTGAGCGCGTGGGGCTCGGCGGGGACGACGGATCTGGTGAGGATGCCGCGGGTGTGGGTGTTGATCGCGAGGGGGTAGAAGGCCATCTCGCCGGTCTTTGATCGGACGGCGACGATGGAGCACTCGTGGTCGAATTCGACGACGCCCTGGAGGACGGCGGGGCGCTCGCCGATGCTCGCGAAGGCGATCGCGGCGGTGTCGGGGGAGGTGATCTTCGCCTGGCCCTTGCCGTCGTAGCCGCCGGTGCGGCGCTTGAGGATGGCGGGCGAGCCGATCGCTGCGAGCGCGGCTTCGAGGTCTTCGAGGGTATCGACGGTGCGCGTCGGGGCGGTTGGGATCTCGCAGCGGTCGAAGAGCCTTTTCTCCTCGAGCCTGTCCTTGGCGGTTTCGAGGGACCTCGGGCCCGGGAGGACGGGGACCCGCTGCGCGGCGCGTTTCAGCGCGGCGGGCGGGATGTTCTCGAATTCGATGGTCGCGGCGTCGAGTGCTTCGGTGAAGCGGGCGAGGGCGCGCTCGTCCTCGTAATCGGCGTGGACGTGCTCGCCGAGCTCTGCGGCGCACGGGTCGGGGTTCGGGTCGAGGAATCGGAAGCGCAGGCCCATGGGGATGCCCGCGAGGGCGAGCATGCGTCCGAGCTGACCTCCGCCGAAGACGCCGATGCGCATGGCTCAGGCGTCTTTCGGGTTGGTGTTCGCGAGGACGGCGTCGGTCTGCTTCTGGCGGTAGGCGTCGAGTTTCTTCGCGAGGGCGTCGTCGGTGGTGGCGAGGATGGCGACGGCGAGGAGGGCGGCGTTGGCGGCGCCGGGGTCACCGATGGCGAGTGTGCCGACGGGGACGCCCTTGGGCATCTGGGCGATGGAGAGGAGGGAATCGGTGCCGTTGAGTGCCTTGGATTTGACGGGGACGCCTAACACGGGGAGGCGGGTCTTGGCGGCGATCATGCCCGGGAGGTGGGCGGCGCCTCCGGCTCCGGCGATGATGACGCGGAGGCCGCGTCCGGCGGCGTTATCCGCGAACTCGAACATGGCGTCGGGTGTGCGGTGGGCGGAGACGACGCGGGCCTCGTGGGGGACGCCGAATTCATCGAGGATTGACGAGGCGTGCTCCATGGTCGGCCAGTCGGACCTGGAGCCCATGACGACGGCGACGAGCGGTTGTGCGTGTTGTGCGGTGCCCATGGGAGGAAATTGTACGGATGTTTGGGTGGTCTGTATGGTGCGGGTGGTCCGGTTGTGCCGAATGTTGAAAGCGGAGAAACGTCCCTCAGGGACTGAGCGCCATCATTTTTTCGGAAGAGCATCGCCCGTGGCACAGTACGACCTCATCGTGATCGGGAGCGGCCCCGCGGGGCAGAAGGCGGCGGTTCAGGCATCGAAACTCGGCAAGCGGGTGGCGGTCGTCGAGCGGATGGAGGTGCTGGGTGGCGTGGCGATTAACACGGGGACGATCCCGAGCAAGGCGTTGCGCGAGGCGATCCTGCACCTGACGGGGTTCCAGCACCGCTCGAAGTTCGGCGAGAACTACACCGTGAAGAAGGACATCACGGTCGACGACATCATCAACTGGTGCCAGGTTGTGGTGCGGGGCGAGATCGACGTGGTGTCGAACCAGATGCACCGGAACGACATCGACGTGATCCGCGGCGAGGGGGCGTTGAAGGACAAGAACACGGTGCGCGTGACGCACGGGAACGAGGTGGCCGAGTACACAACGGAGCACGTGCTGATCGCGACGGGGACGCACCCGGCGCGTCCGGAGAACATCCCGTTCGACCGGACGCACATCGTGGACGCGGACGGCTTCCTGACACTGCCGTCGCTGCCCCGGACGATGATCGTTGTCGGCGGCGGGGTGATCGGGACGGAGTACGCTTCTATGATGAGCGCGCTGGGTGTGCGCGTGACGCTCATCGAGGGCCGCCACCGCCTGCTGGAGTTCCTGGACGTGGAGATCGGCGAGGCGCTGCAGTACCACCTGCGTCAGAACGGGATGACGCTGCGTCTCGGCGAGAAGGTGGTGAACATTGAGAAGCGCGAGGCGCCGGAGGGGGCGCGGACGAGCGACGGGGTGATCGTCGAGGCGACGCTTGAGTCGGGCAAGGTGCTCCGCGCCGAGTGCCTGCTGTATTGCATCGGGCGTCAGGGTTCGACGGGCAGCATCGGGCTCGAGAACGTGGGGCTTGAATCGGACAACCGCGGCCGTCTCAAGGTGAACGAGAACTACCAGACCGACGTGCCGAACATCTACGCGTGCGGGGACGTGATCGGGTTCCCGGCGCTGGCGTCGACGTCGATGGAGCAGGGCCGGCTCGCGGCGGCGCACATGTTCGGGCGGCCGACGGAGGCGACGGAGAAGCTGTTCCCCTACGGGATCTACGCGATCCCGGAGATCTCGATGGTGGGGTGGACGGAGGACCAGCTCACGGAGGAGGACGTGCCGTACGAGGTTGGCGTGGCGAACTACCGTGAGATCGCGCGGGGTTAGCTGGTCGGCGACGCGATCGGGATGCTGAAGCTGATCGTGCACCAGGAGTCGCGGACGATCCTCGGGGTGCACTGCATCGGTTCCGGCGCGACGGAGATCATCCACATCGGGCAGACGATCATGGCCTTCAACGGGACGATCGACTACCTCGTGAACACGGTGTTCAACTACCCGACGTTCGCGGAGTGCTACAAGGTTGCGGCGCTGAACGCGTACAACAAGCTGTCGCACAGCTGAGTGAGCGTTTGAATGCGGGCGTTGGCTGACCTTGGGCTGGGACCCTCACCTGTCTGACGGCCGAATGCTCGTCAGACATCCTCTCCCAGAGGGAGAGGGTGCCCGTGCCTCGGGCTATCATGGTGGCCGATGAGCCACCATGCCCCCCTGCCGAGCGAGCAGCACTGCTACCCGGGCCAGAGCCGGTTGAGCGAGGCGGTCGCGCACCGGCGGCGTGAGGGGCTGTTCCTCGTGTTCGCGGGTCTGTTCCTCGGGTCGCTCACGATGCTGAATATTCTCGGCGTGACGCGGTTCATCCGTCTCGGGGAGGCGGAGCTGTTCGGGCGTGAGCTGGTGTTCGCGATCGCGGTGGGCGTGCTGCCGTACCCGATCACGTTCCTGTGCACGGATTTCATCTCGGAGCTGTACGGGCGGGGGCGGGCGAACCTGGTGGTGGTCGTCGGGTTCGGGCTCAACCTGTGGGTGATGCTGATCCTGTGGCTCGGGGGGGCGCTCCCCGGGTTCGAGGCGCGGGACGACGCCGGGGCGCTGGTGCTCGACGCGGCGGGGCGCGCGCCGATTTTCTTCGAGGTCCGGACGTTCGCGTTCGCGGCGGTGGGCGCGTCGATGGTGGCGTACCTGGTGGCGCAGCTCGTGGACGTGCAGATGTTTCACTTGTGGAAGCGCGTGACGAAGGGCAAGCACCTGTGGCTGCGGAACAACGGCTCGACCGTGGTGAGCCAGCTGGTGGACACGGTGCTGGTGATCTTCATCACGTACCGGGTCGGCGGGCTGACGGGCGTGATCGACGAGGACGCGGCGCTCGCGGGGCAGCTTTTCGTGCTCATCCTGACGGGGTACGCGTTCAAGCTTCTGTGCGCGCTGCTCGACACGGGGCCGTTCTATGTCGGGGCGCACTACCTCACGCGGTATTTGCGTCTGCCGCCGCCGACGCACGACCCGCACCCGCCCGCGGCGGCGGCGGTCGAGGCGGGTGTGGGGTGAGCGGGTCGCTCGAACAGCGCGGGGCGTTCGCGTCGCTCGCGGTGGGCGTGTGGCTCTCGCTGGTCTTGAGCGTCTCGTTGTGGCTGTTCGTGGAATCGATCGCGGCTGCGGTAGCGCACGCGGTGCTCATCGAGGTCGCGTGGGGGGCCGGGCTCGTGGCGTGCCGCGGGCGGGGGCGGCGGGTGTTCGCGGTGGCGGGCGCTGCGGTGACGGTCGGGCTGGTGTTCGCGTTGATCGGGGTGTTTTTGCGGGGGTACGCGTGAGGGCCCCTACTTGCGGACGAGGCCGATGCGCTGCCAGGGGAATCGCCGGCCGTTCTGGATTTTCTTGCTCGTGAATCCGGTGACGCGGTCGGCGCGTTCGACGGAGATGAAGGCGTCTGGGACGGTGGCGTTGAGCTTGCCCATGAACTCATCGAGTTTGCGCCGTCGGATGGCGGTGAGGGTGATCTCGACGGAGCCGTCGCGTCCGTGGCCGTCGAGCTGGGTGGTGATGTAACCCCAGCTCCGGATCTCGTCGGCGAGTTTGATCTTTCGGTCGGTGTTGATGACCTGGATGACGCGGTAGCCGAGGGCGAGGCGCTGCTCGATGGTCATGCCGAGGAGTGTGCCGCAGGAGTAGCCGCCGGCGAAGGCGGCGACGGCGAAGGGGTTGTCCAGTGCGTTGACGGCGCCGCCGACGGCGAGGACCCAGATGAGGACCTCGAAAAAGCCGAGGATGGCGGACATGATCTTGTGGCCCGAGATGACGGAGATCATGCGCATGGTGCCGATGGACACGTCGCAGATTCGGGCGAAGAAGATGAGGATGGGGATGAGCCACTCGCTGGTAGTCATCGAGGAGCCTCCTGCTCGTGGATGGCGAGGTGCGTGGGGACGGGTGAGGGCGGAGTTTACCGCTCGGCCTCGCCCCGTTTGAGGATGTGGAACGATTTCCAGGCGCGGAGCTCGTCGAGGAGTTCGGCGCAGGACGCGTAACGGTGCGTGATGTCCTTGGCGAGCATCTTCATGACGACTTCTGAGACGCCCGGGGAGACCCTGGGGTTTCGGCGTTCGGGGGCGACGGGGTCCTCGTTCAGGTGGCTCTCCATGACGCGCTTGGAGGAGCTCCCGGCGAAGGGGGGCTGGCCGGTGAGCATGTGGTAGAAGGTGGCGCCGAGGGCGTAGATGTCCGCCGGGGGGCCGATGTCGCGGTCTCCTCGGACCTGCTCGGGGGACATGTAGTACGGGGTGCCGAAGGTCTGGCCGGCCTCGGCCTGGGCTTTTTCGAGGTCGGAGATGGCGCGGGCGAGGCCCAGGTCGGCGAGCTTGGACTGGCCGGATTTCGTGATGATGATGTTCTTGGGCTTGACGTCGCGGTGGATGAGGTCGGACTCGTGGGCGTGCTTGAGGGCGTCGGTGAGCTCGATGACGATGTCGAGGGCGCGCTCCTCGTCGACGGTGCCGGTCGCCTGGATGAGGTCGTAGACGGTGTCGCCTTCGACGTATTCCATGACGAAGTAGTGGCAGTCGTCGGCGTTGCCGACGTCGTAGGCCTGGACGATGTTGGGGTGGTTGAGCTGGGCGGCGGCGCGTCCCTCGGCGTGGAAGCGCTCGATGAACTCCTGGTGGCGGGAGTAGCGCTTGGGGAGGACCTTGATGGCGACGAGGCGGTCGAGGCTCGTCTGGCGGGCCTTGAAGACGGCGGCGCTGGCGCCGGAGCCGATCTTGCCGAGCATGGTGAAGCCGGGGATGCGCTGGCCGGTCTTCTCGGCCTCGACGTCGGTGCGGAGGCGCTGGTACTGGCTCGGGGTGAGGGCCTGTCGCTGGACGAGGAGCTCGCCGAAGGAGGCGCTGGGCATCTCTTTCAGGGCGAGTGAGATGGCGTCGATCTGCTCGTCGGTGGCGAAGCCGCGTTTGACGGCGAGGCGGGCGACGGCGGCGTCGAGGGCGTCGGAGGAGGCGGCGACGGTGTTGAAGGTCTCGGAGGCGTCCTGGGGGTCCATCTTGAGGATGGTCTCGGCGGTGTCGACGTCTCGGAGTGTGGGCGGGTTGAAGGAGTCGTCGTCGTCCGGCATGGGGAGCTTGGACTCTTCGGAGGGGTCGATGGACCCGGAGGCGGGATGGGGCTCGTTGGGGGTCATCTGGATGGTGTGAAGCTACGGCGGCAGGCTTGGATGGTCAATTTCGGCGGTAGGATAGCGGGATGGCGTTCAACCCCCTGCGAGGCGTCGAGAACAAGCGGACGGTGTGGGCGTGGGGGATGTTCGACCTCGCGAACCAGTCGTTCACGCTCCTGATCAACACGCTTTTGTTCGCGCTGTTCTTCCGGGAGGTGGTGGTCGCGGACGAGTCTCGGGACGACACGCTGTGGTCGGTGGCGGTGGCGGTGAGCCTGGGGATCGTGGTGGTGCTCTCGCCGGTGCTCGGGGCGGTGGCGGACGTGAAGGGGCTGAAGAAGGAGATCCTGATGGTGCTGGGGGTGGCGTGCGCGGGGCTGACGGGCGCGCTGGCGCTGGTGCCCGGGGGCGTGCCCGGGGAGGCGAACACGCGGGTGATCCTGCTGGCGATGGCGCTGTACGTGCCGGCGAACGTGGCGTACCAGCTCGGGGAGAACTTCCTGGCGAGCTTCCTGCCGGAGATCGCGACGCGGGAGAACATGGGGCGGGTGTCGGGGTTCGGGTGGTCGATGGGGTATTTGGGGGCGCTGGTGCTTCTCGGGCTCACGTTCGCGGGGATGACGGTGTTCGGCCTGGCGGACGAGAAGGCGGGGTGGCGGCCGTTCTTCGTGTTCGCGGGGGTGTGGTTCTTCGTGATGATGATCCCGACGGCGCTGTTCCTGCACGAGAAGAAGCGCGCGGAGCCGATCGAGGTGAGCCGGACGCTCGTGGGCGAGGGGTTCCACCGGCTGGCGCAGACGCTGCGTCACGCGAGGGACTTCCGGCACCTGGCGCGGTTCCTGCTCGCGTTCCTGGTGTACGGGTTCGGGGTGCAGGTGGTGATCTTCTTCTCGACGCCGATCGCGGAGAGCTTCGGGTTCAACGGGGCGAAGCTTGTCTTGTTCGTGGCGCAGATCACGGTTGTCGCGGGGGTCACGGCGATGGTGGTCTCGGCGTATCAGGACCGCGTCGGGCACCGCAAAACCGTGGAGATCTTCCTGGTGATCTGGGCGATCAACGCGATTGGGCTTGCGTTCCTGGCGTGGCTCCAGGCGTCGCGTGGGCCGGGCGGGACGGTGGACGCGTGGCCGATCTGGATCATCGGGAACGGGCTCGGGATCGGGCTGGGGGGGATCGGGACGGCCTCGCGGACGGTCGTGGGCGTGTTCACGCCGACGCACCGGACGGCGGAGTTCTTCGGCTTGTGGGGGCTCACGTACAAGCTGGCGGGGTGCATCGGCGTGCTGAGCTTCGGCGTGATGCGCGACGCGATGGGGCCGGTGTGGGCGCTCGGGCTCCTCGCGAGCTTCTTTGTCGCGGGGTTCGTGATCCTGCTGTCCGTCGATGAGAAGGACGGCGTTCGTGCGGCGGAGGCGGCGGAGCGGGAGCGGGCTTAGGTTTCCGTGTCGCCCTTGTCGTTGTGCTCGTCGTCGGCGTCGGCGTGTTCCTCGATCTTCTCCTTGAAGGGTCGCATCGCGAGGAGGATCAGCAGGCCGAAGCCGGCGATCGTGCCCGCGATATCGAAGCGGCCGACGGCGCTCGCGAGGCCGATGGCGGCGCTGACCCAGAGCCCCGCGGCGGTGGTGAGGCCGCGGACCTGGCCGCGGGATTCGATGATGGCGCCGGCGCCGAGGAAGCCGAGGGCGCCCATCATGCCCTGGACGAGGCGCGTGGGGTCGATTTTGAGTGCGTCGGATGATCCGGCGGCGGCCTCGGTCATGCCGATGCCGAGGATGGTGAACGCGCAGGCGCCGAGTGAGACCATCATGTAGGTGCGGAGCCCGGCTGGGCGGCGCTGGACCTCGCGTTCCCACCCGAGGACGCCGCCGAGGAGGAGGGCGACGAGGAGCCTCAGCGCGATCTGCCACCAATGTTCGGGCATGTCGAGCATGGCGTGATGGTACCGGGTTGGGATTACACTTCTTTCATGAATGTCAGCGAAGATGTGATGGCGGCCCCGGACGGGCGCGGGCGGTTCGGCGAGTTCGGCGGGCGGTACGTTCCGGAGACGCTCGTGCCGGCGCTGGATCAGCTCGCGTCGGCGTACGAGGAGGCTGTCGCCGATTCGTCGTTCCGGGAGGAGCTGGACCGGATCCTGCGGGAGTTCGTGGGTCGGCCGACGCCGCTGCACCGTGCGGACGGGCTGACGGCGCTCGTTCGCGAGGGGGCTGGGGATGGGGACGGTGCGGAGGTGTGGCTCAAGCGCGAGGACCTGGCGCACACGGGGGCGCACAAGATCAACAACACGATCGGGCAGGCGCTGCTGACGGTGCGGATGGGGAAGGAGCGTGTGATCGCGGAGACGGGCGCCGGGCAGCACGGGGTGGCGACGGCGACGGCGTGCGCGCTGTTCGGGCTGGCGTGCGAGGTGTACATGGGGGCGGAGGACGTCCGGCGTCAGCACCTGAACGTGATCCGGATGGAGATGATGGGGGCGAAGGTCGTTCCCGTGGAGACGGGGTCGCGGACGCTGAAGGACGCGACGAACGAGGCGATGCGTGACTGGATGGCGAGCGTGGAGGGGACGCACTACATCCTCGGCTCGGTGGTGGGCCCCCACCCCTTCCCGCGGATCGTGCGGGATTTCCAGCGGGTGATCGGCGACGAGGCGCGCGTGCAGTGCGAGCGGGCCTTCGGCGCCCTGCCGGACGCGGTGGTCGCGTGCGTGGGCGGCGGCTCGAACGCGGCGGGGATCTTTTCCCCGTTCGTCGGGGACACGGGCGTGCGGCTGGTGGGCGTCGAGGCGGGCGGGAGCGGGACGGGGCTCGGCGAGCACGCGGCGCCGCTGACGTACGGCTCGCCGGGGATCCTGCACGGTTCGCTCTCGTACGTGCTGCAGAGCGAGGACGGGCAGACGAGCGACGTGCACTCGTGCAGCGCGGGGCTGGACTACCCGGGTGTGGGGCCGGAGCACGCGTACTGGAAGGACGCGGGGCGGGCGGAGTACACGAGTGTCGGCGACGGGGCGGCGCTGGAGGCGCTGCAGGTTCTCGCGCGACGGGAGGGCGTGCTGTGCGCGCTGGAGACGGCGCACGCGGTGGCGCACGCGATCGAGGCGGCGCGCACGATGCGCCGGGAGCAGCGGGTGCTGATCAATGTGTCCGGGCGGGGGGACAAGGATGTGGACGAGGTGGCGCGGCTGCTCGGCGGGTGATAGGCGAGACACCGGTCCCGCCGTTTACTTGCGCGGCGTGTCTTCGTCGCGCCGGCGTGGGGCGGGGGCGAGGGCTCGGATGAGCTTGCGGACGCGCTCGAAGGCGCGGTAGAGCCGCAGGGCGAGCATGAGGCGGCGGAGGGCGTGGTCGTCCGGGCTCTGGGCGATGGCGCGGTCGAGGTAGGTGCGGGCTTCGCGCCAGCGGCGCTGCTGCATGCAGGCGATGGTCATGTTGTGCAGCGCGGGGACGTGGTCGGGCTTGATCTTGAGGGCGCGGTTGCAGGCGTCCATGCCCAGGCCGTGGTTGCGGGACTGGAAGTAGGCGACGGAGAGCGCCTGCCAGGCGGCGGCGTCGTCCTTTCGGCGGGCGACGAGCTCGGTGAAGACGGGGATGGCGTCTTTGGGGAGCCTGGCGTCGAGGAGGAGCTGGCCCAGGTCGTCGACGGTGTCGGTGGGCGTGGCGGCTTTCTTGGCGCGGAAGGAGCGCATCTCGCGTCGGAGGAGGCGTCGCGCTTCGGCGAGCTGGCCGTTGTCGAGGTGGATGGAGGCGAGGTTGCGCCGGGCCTCGGAGTGGTTGGGGTCGAGGCGGAGGACGAGCTTGAAGCGCTCTGTGGCCTCGCGGGTGCGGTGCTGGCGCATGGCGAGGGAGGCGAGGGCGTTGTGGGCCTCGGCGTTGTCGGTCTGGATCTCGAGGACTCGGCGGTACTTCTCGCCGGCGTCGGCGAGGCGGTTCATGTCGACGAGAAGGTCGCCCATGTCGAGGAGCGTGTCGGTGTCGCCGGGGTTGTCGCGGAGCTCGCGGAGGTAGAGCTGGCGGGCGCGCTCGAGGCGGCCGGTCTGGGCGTAGGCGTAGGCGAGTCTGGCGTGGACTCGGGAGAGGCGCGGGTCGATGTTGGCGGCCTCGCGGAGGCAGTAGATCGCGCGGGGGAATTCGCGGCGCTCGATGAGCGACTCGGCGACGGAGGCGTAGGCGAGGGCGTGGTCGCCGGGGAGCTGGAGCGCGAGGTAGAAGTGTTCCTCGGCCTTGTCGTGCTGGTTGAGGCGCGTGTAGACCTCGATGAGGTGGACGTGCGGCTCGGCGGTGTCGGCGTTGCGGCTGGCGGCCTTGAGGAGGTGGCCCCTGGCACGCTCGACCTTGTCGAGGCGGAGGCAGACGACGCCCATGAGCTGGAGCGTGCCGGCTTCTTCGGGGTCGAGCTCGTGGGCGCGTTCGAGGGCGCTCATGGCGTCGTCGAGCCGGCCAGCGGCCTCGAGGGTGAGGCCGAGGTTGAAGTGCCACTCGGCGCGGTCGGGGATGATGGTGATGGCCTCGCGGAGGGCGGATTCGGCCTCGTCGAGGCGTCCCTCTTCGTAGAGCTGGTGCGCTCTTTCGACGAATTGTTCGGCATCCTGCCAGTCGTTCATCGTCGGTGTGCTTCCTGCGGAATGTGTGCGGTCCTCGGGCGCATGACTTCGGTGCGTATCATAGTATCGGGCAGAGGCCCCTGGCGGCCCCAGCCGGGGCGGCCATGAGGTCGAATTGCGAAAGGGCATGGGAACGAGCGTGCGACGTTTTGGTGTTTGCGCTTTGATCGGATTGACGCTTGCGAGCCCGATTCCCGGGTGCTCCGCCAATTCCGCCCGCGCCCAGGACGCCGCGACGGCCGCCACCGAGTCCGAGCAGCTGCTGGAGGAGCTTCGGCAGGTCTACAGGACCCTGTACGCCCTGTCGCCGGACGAGGAGCGTGCTCAGATCCTTGGACGGCTGTTTTCTCATTCCCTGGCCCCGATGCGGGCGTTCGGCCTGGATCTGGCCCGGCGGACCCTGCTCAACGCCCGGACGGTGCCGGCGGACCTTCTGGCCCGGGCGAGCGTGCTGCTCGCGGACGACGCCCCTGCGGTGCGTCGGAACGCGGCCCAGCTGATCGCGACGATGGGCGGCGAGGCGGCCTCTCGGACGCTGGTGGACGCGCTGGCGATCGAGGACGACGCGTCGGTGGCGAGCGAGATCCTGCGGGCGCTGTCTCAGAATCCCGCGCTGGTGTCCGTGGAGGAGCTCGAGCGGTGGATGGGGACGCGGGGCGAGGCGAGCGACGCCGCGTTCGCGGTGGCGCTCGCGATCTCGCGCGGGGGCGAGCGGGAGCTGAGCGAAGACCAGCGTCGGCGGATGCGTGGGCTGATCGGGGCGTTCGATGCTGGGCGGAGCTCGCCGGCGCGGGTGTCGCTCGCGTGGCGGCTGGGGATGGAGGGGTACGTGACGTCCGCGCTGGCCTCGGAATCGAACGAGCTGCGCTCTTCTGCCGCGACGGCGTTGATCGGCGACAAGGAACTTTCGGGGCTTGTGATCGACGCGGCGATGGTGGACGCGGCGCTGTTCCCGTACGCGATCGACGGGATCGTGGCGCACCGCGCGACGGCGGATGGGTACCGCACGGCGCGGGCGATGGCTTCCGGGAGCGAGGAGATCCGGCGGGGTGGGTTGCGAGCGGTGCTGCTGGCGCTGGGGCCGGTGGATCTGGTGGCGACCGCGCGGGGTGAGAGCGACCTGTACACCCGCGAGTCGATGCTCGAGCATCTGGAGGAAGAGCCGCACGCGTCGAGGCTGAACGACGGCCGGCCCTGGGCGGTCGCGCTGCGTGAGCTGGTGATCACGCGCTCGAAGATCCGTGACTGCGCGGGCGTGGCGAGCGCGTCGGCGCTGCTGGACACGCTCCGGGGTGGGACGCCGGATACCGAGACGGCCGAGGCGCGCCTGGTGTGCCTGATCGAGCTCGGTCGGCTTGAGGAGGCGGAGGCGGTGACAACGGCGCTGCTCGGACATGAGGAAGAGTCCGTGGGCCGGCTGGCGGACGCGTGGATCGAGGGGGTCCAGCGGATCCAGGGCGATCCGGCGCGGGTCAGCGCGGGCGTCGCGACGGTCGAACGGCTGTTCGGTGAGTCCCTGACGCCGGCGCAGCGCGGGCTGCTCGAAGGGTTCTCGCGGCCCGACCCGGATTCGGGCGAGGGTGCGGGGGAACCGGGCGGTACAATCCCGCCACAATGACCGAGATCAAAGACCACGAATACGTGCTCGGGACGAAGTCCGACGAGCTTGACCGGCTTCGGATGCAGCACGAGTTGTGGGCCGACGTGGCGCGGGCGCAGTGGTCGCGCGCGGGTTTCGGCGCGGGTCAGACGATCATCGACCTGGGGTGCGGCCCGGGTTTCGCGACGCGCGAGCTGGCGTCGCTCGTCGGCGCCGGCGGGCGTGTCATCGGGATCGATGTGTCCAAGGGGTTTGTCGAGCACGCGCGGGCGTACGCGAGCGAGGGATCGGACGCGGAGGTCGAGGCGGTGCACGCCGACGCGCAGGAGGTTTCCATCGGGGAGGGGATCGCCGACGGTTTGTACACGCGGTGGGTGCTGTCGTTCACGCCGGAGCCGGAGCGCGTGATCGAGCGGATCGCGTCGGCGCTGAAGCCCGGGGGCGTTGTGGCGGTGCAGGACTACGTGATGTGGGCGAGCCTTCTGTGGGCGCCGCGGAACAAGACGCTCGACACGCTGCGCCGTTCGATCCTGAGCATGTACGGCGCGCAGCGCGCGGATTCGAACGTCGGGCAGAAGGTCCCCCCGCTGCTGGCGGCGAACGGGTTCGAGATCCTGGAGGTTCGGCCGCTGCACCGGATCGCGCGTCCGGGCGAGCCGCTGTGGCAGTGGCCGACGGTGTTCTTCAGGACGTTCCTGCCGAAGGTGGTCGAGGCGGGGCATATGACTCGGGCGGAGTTCGAGGCGTGGGACGCGGAGTGGCGCGAGCTGGAGCGCACGCCGGGATCGTTTTTCATGACGCCCCCCCAAGTCGAGGTCATCGCGCGAAAGCGTGGGTGATTTTCGGACCACCGCTGCAGGGGGAGTCCGGAAGGCCCGCTGGGCCTCATGCCGACCCCTTGTCTGAAAAATACGGGCGAGATCGCCCGTTCTGATTCTTTTGCGTACATATTAAGCCGATTGCGGAGCGGACCTCAGTATTTCTGGAGACAGGATGCGTCCGACCCGCACCACTCTATTCGGCGTTGTTCTGCTGGCCGCGCTCGCGTCCGTGGCGTTCGCTGTCTCGCCGATCGACGCGGAGGCGTGCGGGTCCGAGGCGGGCGGGGAGGTTTCGGCCGCGGGTGTCGCGTCCGGGGGTGCGGGGTCGATCGACTTCTTCACGAACTTCGGCCGGTACATGCCCCGCGTGCACTGCATGCGGACGGCGGAGGGGAACCCGGACTGGTTCTGGATCGCGCTGCTCGTCGGCTTGACGCTCGGGGTCGTGGTGTTCTACGCGCGGATCTATGTGTTCTGGCGCCGTGCCTACCTGGACGAGGAGGAGCGGGACCGCAACACGAAGCTGATGGACCTCGCGAATATTTTCTTCTGGTGCGCGGTGTGCGGGTACGCGATGTCGATCGTGATGTTCGTGTGGCCGGCGTACCGGCTGCTGGCGCTGTTCCTGCTGGTGCTCAATATCTGGTCGCTGCGGTTCTGCCTGAGCCCGAACGAGTTCCGCGTGTCGCTCAGCGCGAAGCGGCTGGAGCGGGAGCTCCGTGAATCGCTCGAGGAGCGGAACCATGAGCTCGAGCGGCTGGTCGCGAAGAAGACGGCGGACCTGGATCTCGCTCGGATCGAGGCGGAGAAGGCGAACGCGGCGAAATCGATCTTCCTGGCGAACATGAGCCACGAGATCCGGACGCCGATGGCGGCGGTGATCGGCTACTCAGAGCACGCTCTGGAGCACCTGAGCGACGAGGAGGAGCTGCGGGGCTCGCTCGAGACGGTGCGCCGGAACAGCGAGCACCTGCTCGGGATCATCAACGACGTTCTGGATCTCTCGAAGATCGAGTCCGGGAAGCTCGATGTGTCTCCCGAGGCGTTCGATGTGCACCGGGCGGCCCGGGAGGTGATCGACCTGCTGTCGCACCGCGCTGCGACGAAGAGGCTCTCGCTCACCCTGGAGGGTCTGGAGAGCGTGCCGCGGGTGATCACGAGCGACGAGGTCCGGGTGAAGCAGATCCTGGTGAACCTGGTGAGCAACGCGATCAAGTTCACGGAAGAGGGCGGTGTGCGCGTGGTGCTGTCGTTCGACCGCGACCGGGCGCCCGCGAAGCTCACGATCCGGGTGATCGACACGGGCATCGGCATCCTGCCGGAGTGCCAGCACCAGCTGTTCCGCCCGTTCGTGCAGGCGGATTCCTCGATCACGAAGCGGTACGGCGGGACGGGGCTCGGCCTCACGATCTCGCGGATGCTCGCGCGCCAGCTGGGGGGCGACGTTTCGCTGGAGCGCTCGTGCGCGGAGGGGTCGCGGTTCTGCGCGGTGGTGGACGCTGGTGAGTATTCGGACAACGCCACGCACCTGCTCCCGACGGAGGGGGCGCTGCCGGGCTCGTCGGATTCGGTCTCCTCGGTGCTCGAGGGCGTGCGTGTGCTGCTGGTGGACGACAACGTCGACAACCGTCGGCTGTACCGGCACCACATCAAGAAGGCGGGGGCGACGGTGGACGAGGCGTACGACGGGTGGGAGATGCTCGGGTTGCTCGAAGACGGGCGCCGGTACGACGTGATCGTGCTGGACATGCAGATGCCGGTGATGGACGGGTACACGGCGGCGCGGAGGCTCCGCGACCGTGGCGACCTGACGCCGGTGCTCGCGCTGACCGCGAACGCGATGGCCGAGGACCGGGACGAGTGCATCATGGCGGGGTGCGACGAGTTCCTGAGCAAGCCGGCGACGCGGGCGCAGCTCGTTGGGATGATCTCGGCGCTGCTCGAGTCCTCGCGCTCTTCGTGAGAACAGTTTTGAAAAAATGCGGAATACGGCTTGACCGGTGCGCGTTGTCCGTGCACCTTCCCTGTCCGCATTTCACCCTGTTCACGCTGACCCGAGAGGTCCCGCATGTTTGCTCGCCACGCCACCACCCGACATCTCGACCGACGCGTCCTTGAGATGCGGGGGAACACGGCGCTGCGCTCCCGCGCGGCGTGCCGGGCCGGCTGAGCGCACCGAACGCGGCCGGACGCGGATCCCTCACCCAACTGAACGCCATCGAAACCGATGACCGTGCCGCGCGCATTTCGGTGCGCGGCTGATCTTCTTGTCACGGTGCGCCGCTGGTGCGCCATTGTCTGAGACCTGAACCATGACCGAGACTTTCACCATCCCGTGCACCGACGAGGTCGAGGGCGTGTCGCGCCCGCTCGCGCCGGAGGAGATCCGCGCGGGGATGTACGTCGCGGTGCTGACCGAGACCGTGCGCGTGTGGCCCTGGGTCGTGCTCCCCGAGGACATCGCGCTGGGGCGCGTGCGCCCCGCGGAGTTCGTCGTGGCGCCGCGCGAGGGCGGGGCGGCGCTGCGCGTGCTCGAGGTGTGCCTGCCGTACGTGCTCACCGAGACCGCGCACGGGAAGGCGGAGACGCTCGACGTGCGTCGCGTGCGCCTCACGCAGGTGAGCGACCGCTACGGGCGAGAGCTGTTTCGCCTTCATCGCGAGCGGAAGGCCCGGAAGCGGGAACGCGAGCGGTCCGAATCGTCCAAGTGATTGATTGATCAGAACTTGGAATCCATTGACCCGCCCGCCCGGTGGCCTGAGGCCGACCGGGCGGGCGTTTTTTGTGCCGGACCGCCGATAACCGTCCGCCGGCGTGCTCCGAGAACGGGAAATCGAGCGAAATCCGGCTTCTCATCGACGAAATCGTTTGCACGAGTCGGCTCTGAATGGACTACTTGGTGTGCACAGTCGCCCAATGACGGGCCCATTTGCACCAGGGAGAGAAAGATATGTCCACCATCAAGTCACTCACGGTTGTCGCCATTGCCGCGTGCGGCACGTCCAGCGCGTTCGGCGGGTACATGTACGCCTCGAGCGTGGAGCACTTCGACCAGGGTCTTCAGAAGAACGGGAACGCCGTCGCGGCGAACCGTTCCGACCCGACGCAGGCGCTCGGGGCCCCGCAGCTCACGGACACGATCAACTTCGTGTCGCTCGGTATCGGCGGGGAGCTGATCCTCGGGTTCGACGGCCTTTTCGCGAAGGATTCTGTGATCGTCTGGGAGACGACGTACGGGAACCCCTCGAACTACCCCGAGTCGGCGGAGCTGTGGATCGGCTTCGGCGAGTCGTGGGACACGGCGGACTTCGTGATGGTGTCCGACCTCGAGAACGACATGGACGGCATCGAGATCCCGCTCGCGAGCGTGGACACGGAGATGAGCGTCTTCAATTTCGTGAAATTCATCGACACGACGGACATCAACCTGCACGGCGGGAACGCCGACGGGTTCGATGTGGACGGCGTGGGCGTGCTGCCGGTTCCGACGCCGGGCACGATCGCGCTGGCCGGTGTGGGCGGGCTCGCCTGCGTCCGTCGCCGCCGTCGCTGAGCGATTCGGCATACCGAGACCCGCGCCCCGGACTCGTGATGGGGTGCGATCTGTCCAACGGTCCCGGCGCGGTGGTGCAGCACCGCGCCGGGTATTTTTATGCGCCCCGGGTACACTTGTGCGGGATTCCCGCGGGCGCATCGTGTGCGTCCGGCCGAGGCACGCGCATGAGCGACGATCATCCGACGTGGGGCGTTGGCCCCGGCGAGATCCGCGACCTGGATATCGAGGTGACCGAGACGTACACGGGCAGCCCGGTGAGCGTGCCGGTGCGCGTGATCCAGGGACAGGCGGACGGGCCGGTGGTGTACATCAGCGCGGCGGTGCACGGGGACGAGATCAACGGGACGGGGATCGTCCGGGAGCTGATCCTGGACGAGCACCTGCAGATCAAGGCGGGGACGCTCCTGCTCATCCCGGTGGTGAACATCCTCGGGTTCGAGCGGATGATGCGGTACATGCCGGACCGGCGCGACCCGAACCGGTGCTTCCCGGGCTCGCCGGACGGCTCGCTCACCAACCGGTTCGTGCACGCGATCTTCGAGAAGCTCATCCGCAAGTGCGATTACGGGCTGGACCTGCACTGCGCGGCGGTGCACCGGACGAACTTCCCGAATGTGCGCGCGGACATGAGCAATCCCGGGGTGAAACGGATCGCCCGGGTGTTCGGGGCGGAGCTGATCATCGACCAGCGCGGGCCGGAGGGGTCGCTCCGGCGCGCCGCGACGGACGCGGGGGTGCCGACGATGATCCTCGAGGCGGGTGAGCCGTGGAAGATCGAGCCGGGGATCGTGGAGTACGGGGTCCGCGGGGTGCTGTCCGTCCTGAGTGAGCTCGGGATGATCGACCCGATCGAGGCGCCGAGCTGCCGCTTCCAGGCGGTGGTGGACAAGACGACGTGGCTCCGCGCGCAGGAGGGCGGGTTCCTGCGGTTCCACGTGGCGCCGGGGGACGTGGTGGAGGAGGGGGACGCGATCTGCACGCAGACGACGCTGCTCGGGCACGACCCGGTGACGCTCGAATCGCCCGCGAGCGGGTACGTGCTGGGGATGACGACGCTCCCGGCGGTGGTGCCGGGCGACCCGATCTGCCACCTCGCGCTGATCGACGAGAGCGACCGTGTGGTGCTCGACGAGCTGGCGGGGATGGAGCTGCACGACCGGGTGCGCGACGAGATCGCGACGAGCTTCAATATCTCGGAGCGGGCGGATTGAGATGAACGGCACGCGGCTCGAGCCCGAGATCCGGACCGCGGACCCGCGGTCCCCCGCTGCTCTCGCCATCCTGGAACGCCACCTCGCCTACGCGAACGAGCACTCGCCACCAGAGAGCGTGCACGCGCTGGACGTGGCGGGGCTTTGTGACGCGAGCGTGACGTTCTGGTTGCTGTTTCTGGGCGAGGCGGCGGTCGGGTGTGTGGCGCTCAAGGCGATCGCGGACCTTCCCGGGGAGTGCTGCGGGCACGGGGAGATCAAGTCGATGCACGTGCTCGCGGAACACCGGGGGAAGGGATTCGGGAAGCGGCTCGTGGCGTTCGTGCTCGACGAGGCGCGGGCAAGGGGGTACGGGCGGGTGAGCCTGGAGACGGGATCAATGGGGGCGTACGCGGCGGCTCGGGGGGTGTACGCGGGGTTTGGTTTCAGGCGGTGCGAGCCCTTTGGGATGTACTGGGACGATCCTCAGAGCGCGTGCATGACGCAGCGGCTTCGCGATGGAACGGTCGGCTCCGGGAACTGACTCAGGCCGCTTTGCTCAGGGCGGCCTGCCCCGCCGGGAACGCGAAATAGAACGTCGTCCGCTCGTTGGGTTCTGACTCGAACCAGACCTCGCCGCCGGTGGTGGCGGCGATTTTGCGGACGATGGCGAGGCCGATGCCGGTGCCCTCGGTGTCGGCGGGGTAGAGCCTCTGGAACATGCCGTAGATCTTCTCGGCGTGCTCCTGCTTGATGCCGCGTCCGTGGTCGGTGACGGCGAGGACGACGCGTCCGGGCTCTTCTGTGGCGTTGAGCTCGATGGTGTGGGGGCCGTGTTCTGGCTTGCCGTGCTTGATGGCGTTTTCGATGAAGTTCTGGACGACGTGGCGCGCGTGGGATTCGTTGGTGCTGAGATTGGGGAGGTTGGGCGCGATGCGGAGTTCGGCGTTGTGCGTGTCGAGGCTGGACTGCATGTCCGAGGCGATGTCGCGGCAGAGCTCGTCGAGGTCGACGAGGGTGGCGTCGTCCTTGCCCTTTGTGACGCTGCTGAGGACGAGGAGGCCGTCGAGTGTGGCGGCCATGCGGTGCACGGCGCGTTCGATCCGGATGGTGGTGTCGCGTGCTTCATCGGTGTCGCCCGCTGCGGTCTGCGCTTTGAGGACGCCGACGAAGCCGTTGACGGTGACGAGGGGTGTCCGGAGGTCGTGGGAGACGGTGTAGACGAACTGGGTCATTTCGTCGTTGCGCTGGCCCAGGTCGCGGGCGAGGGTGCGGGACTCTTCGAGGAGCCTCTCGGTGTCTGCGTTTTTGGTTTTGAAGACCTCGGCGGACTTGGCGAGGGTGCCGATCTCGTCGTTGCGGTGGGTGAACATGACCTCGGCGTCCCTGTCGTCGCTCGCGAGGCGTCGGAATGTGTCTGCGAGGCGGAGGATGGGCCTGAGGACGGCGCGGGTCATGAGCGAGGCGGTCATGATGCCCGCGAGGACGGTCAGGATCGCGACGACGTCGTTGATGATCTGGAACCGCTTCGCGGCGTGGGTCATCTCGCGGGCGAACTCGTCTCGGGCACGGACCGAGGCGGTGCTGATCGCCTGAGACTGGGCGAGGAGCTGCGAGGCGTCGCCGGCGATGACGACGTTGACGAGGTGGAGGTAGCCGCGTGTCGCGGTGACGGCGTTGAGGAAGGCGCGCTCGTAGTCGCCGATGAGCCCGAGTGTCTCGCGGCAGAACCCGCCCTCGCGCGGCATGACGCAGAGGGTGCGTGCGGCGTCGAAGTGCGCAACGGCGTCGTTGACGGTGTGGCGGCTTGGCGTGTCGAGGTAGCGGAGTGCGGATGATTCACCGAGGAGGAATTCACGCTGGGTGTGTGCGGCGACGGCGGCGAAGGGGCCTTCTTCGAGCACGATCTCGTTGAGCCGCTCGATGATGCGGTCGCGTGCGGGCTGCATCTCCTCGTTGACGAGGCGGACGCGTGCGGCGCGGTCGATCTCTGCTTTTTGGAAGCTGTTCCCGTACGAGCGGATGCGCTGGCGCATGCGCTCGAGCTGGTCGCGGGTCTCCGGGGTGTGCGATCCGGCGATGGCGGTGTCGATGCCGCTTTCGGCGGATTCGAGGAGCTCGCGGACGCGGTCGGCGGCGGCGCGGTGGCCGGAGAAGATGTAGTCGCCGACGCACTTCTGGAGCTCGGTGACGGCGCGGTTGATCTCGAGGACGTTGATGGTGTCGTGGTTCTCGAGCTCGAAGTGTTCGAGGTCGTTCTTCGCTTTCTCGAGGCCGACGTGGCCCATGATCGCGGTGACGAGGTGCAGCGCGAGCACGATGGAGAGGGAGACGCCGATCATCTGCCGGATGGAGAGCATGTTCAGCGCCCCGCTTTCGCGATGACGGGCTGGGTGGTGAGGAACTCGCCCCAGCGGATGAGGGTGTGCTCGTAGTTTTCCATCACGGTGTTCCAGACGGCGATGTTGGCGAAGCGGTCCTCGTAGCTGCCGCCGTTGCGGGTCTCGCCGGCGCGGGCGACGACGCCGCCGTCGGTGCCCCGGAGGTCGGATCGGGCGGGCCGGCCCTCGTACCAGTAGGCCCACTCGTCTTCGGTCATGTGCGCGCGGGCGGCTTCGGGGACGGAGATGTAGTAGCCCTGGCGGCTCATGATGGCGCCGGGTTTCCCGGAGAGCCACCAGTTCATGTAGTCGTACGCGGCGTCGAGGGTGTCCCCGCTGGTCGCGGCGGAGAGGCACATCACGCCGTGCCAGGCGCGGTAGCCCTCGCGCGGGGCGGCGTAGCGGACGGGGAAGCCCATGCTGCGGAGCGAGGCGGCGCCGGGCGAGAACATGCTCTCGATGACGGCCTGACCGGAGCGCATGAACTCGACGGACTCGGGGACGGAGCTCCAGACGCCGTAGAAGTGCCCGCGCCGGCGCAGATCGATGAGGATGTCGAAGAGTGTGTCGATCTCGTCGACGGTCATGTTGCCGATGTCGGCGAACGACATCTTCCCGGTGGCCTGCGCGGCGAGGGCGAGGTCGAAGAGGCCGATGGTGGGTTCGTTGACGATGGCGACCCTGCCGGCGTGTCGCTCGTCGAAGAGCCAGCCCCAGCTCTCCTCGGCGTAGGCGATGCCGGGCGGGATCACGCGCGTGTCGTAGCCGAATGAATCGACGTTGTGGACGTAGGGGAGGAAGCTGACGGTCGAGCCGGCGCGGGGGCCGAGGGCGCCGTCCGGCTGGACGTAGAGGAGTTTGTTGGGCGCGTCGCCGGCGCCGGTCCGGGCGTCTGGCGTGAGCCGACCGGTCTTGGACAGGGCGTTGACCTGGTCCCAGCGGGTGATGCGGCCGACGCTGATGGGCTGAATCGCCCCAGACCGCCAGAGCACGTTGATGCTGTTGGACCACTGCTCGTAGACGTCGAAGGACTCGGGGCGGGTGGAGGCCTGCTGGAGCACGGCGGCGCTGCCGCTGGGGGAGAATTCCACGTCGATGCCGAGGTCGCGCTCGGCGGCGATCCTGATCTGTTCCTGGAGCGTGACGTGCGTGCCGAGGACGCGGAGCCGGCGCACCGCGCGGTTCTTCGCGGTGACGATCGCCGGGAAGCAAGCGGCGGAGAGGGTCGCGGCGGCGCCCGTCTTGAGCAGCTGTCTGCGTGTGATCGCGCGGCGTGGCATGCGGCCCTGTGCCCTCCTTCTCTTGTGCTTGGTTTCACGGCTCGGTGTGACGCGGGGTTGCGTCACGCGGTGTGACCCTCTGCGATTGCGGGAGTTCGGGCGTGTGTCCGGCTCAGGCTGCCGAGACGTTGGTCTGAACCCAGTAGTCGCGGATCGAGTTGACGATGTCCTTGTACGCTTCGAAATCGAGCGGTTTGATGATGTAGCTGTTCGCGTACGCGCCGTAGGCCTTGCTCAGGTCTTCGGAGGCGTCGGATGTTGAGAGGATGATCACGGGGATCTTGGCGAGGTTGATGTCCGACTTGATGATGTCGAGGACCTGGTGGCCGTCGAGCTTGGGGAGCTTGAGGTCGAGGAGGATGAGATCGGGCCGGTCGACGCCCTCGTAGGGGGCTTGTTTGCGGAGGAACTGGATCGCGGCCTCGCCGTCGGAGACGTGCGAGATCTCCGCGTTCGACCCGGTCGCCTTGAACGCGTACTGCACGAGCTGGGCGTGATCGGGCTCGTCCTCGACCAGCAGGTAGTGGAATGTTTTGTCTTTGTGCTGCATCGCGGACTCCGCGGGCTCCGGGAGCGTTGCACGCAGCTCCGCTCGGCGCCGGGTTCTGAAAACGGGTCTCTGTGGTGTCTTTGGTGTCGACCGATCCGCGTCCGAGATTCATCGAAAACTGGGGCTTGCCCCCTCTCGGGGGACTCCAGAATCGGTCATCTGGTGTGTATCCGGAATCGGACGTGCGCGCAAGTACCCCCCACAGGACTCGAACCTGTAACCCGCTGATTAAGAGTCAGCTGCTNNGCTCTACCGATTGAGCTAGGGAGGCACGGGCAGGGACCGCCTGTTGGGGTCGCCCGGCTAGATTGCGGGATGGTACGCGATTGGTTGGGGGGTGGCAAGGGGGTTGGGGGGCAATGGGCAGTGGCCAATGGCCAATTGGGGAATACCATTTTGTATGGACGGGGGAGTGCGTGATCGGGGCCCAAGGGGGTGCTGGGCTTGGCTGCTGAGGGTTTTTTCTTCCTCCCACTGGCCATTGGCCATTGCCCATTGCCCGACCCCCATGGCCCTCTCCCGTGCCGTTGACAGGGATTCACGGTCGCCTTACACTTCCCGATTCTCGTCTTGGGCGTCCGGAAGGCCACAGGCCCGGCGTCTGACGGGGGTTCTTCTCGTTGGTTTCGCTCGAGCGGCCCCGGCCGCTTTGCCCTTTGAATACGGATTTCTTGCCATGCACCCGACTCATCGCATCAGCCCCGGTCGTAAGCGTCGTCGCCGCAGCCATCTGGCGCTGGATGTGCAGGTTCCCACGACGTGCCCGCTGAGCGGTACGGCGAAGCAGCACCACCGCGCGTGCACGGAGTCGGGCTACGTTCGCCCGGGTCTGGTGATCAGCGTTCCGAAGCTGGGGATCGGGCCGGACAAGGGCTAATTCAGACGAGGGGCTTTGCCTGATGCGCATCGCGATCGATGTGATGGGCGGGGACCATGCGCCGGACGTGATCGTCCGCGGGTGTCTCGACGCTCTCGCTGTCATCTCGGATTCTGACGAGCTGGTGCTCGTGGGTGACGAGCCGACGGTGCGCGAGATCATGGCGGAGCGGGGTGTGAGCGACGGCCGGGTCTCGGTCGTCCACACGACGGAAGTCATCGAGATGCACGACTCGCCCGTGAACGCGGTGCGGGAGAAGCAGGACTCGTCCATCGTGCGGATGATGCGTCTCGGGTCCTCGAAAAAGAGCGACAACCCGGTGGACGTGGTGATCTCGGCGGGGAACACGGGGGCGTGCGTCAGCGCGGCGACGATGTACATGCGTCGGCTCGACGGCGTGCACCGGCCGGGCATCGCCTGTGCGGTGCCGACGTTCCACGGGCCGGTGGTGATGTGCGATGTCGGCGCGAACCCGGAGCCGCGTGACACGCACCTGGCGCAGTACGCGGAGATGGCGGACATCTACGCGCGGCGTGTGCTGGGGATGGAGATGCCGCGGGTCGCCCTGCTGAACATCGGTTCGGAGGAGGCGAAGGGGACGGGGATGATCAAGAACGTGCGTGACATGCTCCGCGCGACGCCGGAGCTGAACTATTCGGGGTACGTCGAGGGGCGGGACGTGTTCGAGGGTGTGGCGGACGTGATCGTGTGCGACGGGTTCGTCGGGAACACGATGCTGAAGCTGGCCGAGGGCCTGAGCAAGAGCCTGTTCAAGGCGATCGCGCACGAGGTGATCTCGCACGACCCGGAGCTGGCGCTCGCCCTGGAGCCGGTGGTGTCGGGCCTGAAGAAGAAGAACGACTACCACGAGTACGGCGGGGCGCCGCTGCTGGGCGTGAACGGGGTGTGCTTCATCTGCCACGGCTCGAGCGAGGCGCGGACGATCACGAACACGATCCGCAACGCGCTGGAGTACGTGAAGGCGGGGGTGAACGAGACGATCGTCGAGCGTCTGCGGAAGCTCGAGGCCGGGGCCCCCACCGCCGGTGAAGCGGCATGAATCACGACATCGGCGTGCACATCGCGGGGACGGGGCGGTACATCCCGTCTCGTCTGATCACGAACGAGGACATGGCGAAGCTCGTTGATACGTCCGACGAGTGGATCACGCAGCGCACGGGGATCCGCCAGCGGTACCAGTGCGATCCGATGAAGAACGAGACGACGCACACGATCAGCCAGTGGGCGTTGGAGCGGGCGCTCGAGGACGCGGGGGTCGACCCGATGGAGCTCGACCTGGTCATCGTGGCGTCGGTGACCGGGGAGATGCGTTGCCCGGCGACGGCGTGCCGCGTGGCGGCGGACGCGGGGGCGAAGAACGCGGGGGCGTTCGATCTGATGGCGGCGTGCTCGGGCTTCGTGTACGGGCTCCACATGGCGAACGACCTGATCCGGACCGGCTCGCACCGGACGATCGCGCTGGTCGGTTGCGACGTGATGAGCCGCGTGACGGATTACGAGAACCGCTCGGTGTGTGTGCTGTTCGGGGATTCCGCCGGCGCGGCGATCCTGAGAGCGAGCGACGATCCGGGGCAGGGGATGCGTCTTGGGACGCTCAAGGCAGACGGGAGCGGGTGGAAGGACCTGTACATCCCCGAGCGGACGAGCGACTACCCGGTCGGGATCGATCACTCGGCGATGAAGGACGGGACGCTCCAGATGAACGGGCGCGAGGTGTACAAGTTCGCGGTGGGGACGTTCCCGAACCTGATCGGTGAGACGCTCGATCGCGGGGGCGTGACGGTGGACGACATCTCGATGTTCGTCTGCCACCAGTCGAACGCGCGGATGCTCGAGTCGGCGCGGGAGAAGTTCGGGATCCCGCAGGAGAAGATGTACATCAACATCGACCGGTACGGGAACTGCTCGGCGGGCTCGGTGCCGGTGTGCCTCGACGAGCTTCGCGAACGGGGCGAATGCCGGCCGGGCGACCTGGTGATGTTCGTCGCGTTCGGCGGCGGGCTGACGTGGTCGTCGCTGCTGTGGCAGCTCTGAGTTTCGCGGTTGAACAGAGGGGAACGGCGTATGTCCGAGACGAATCGAGTCATCCTGTGCCCGGGTCAGGGTTCCCAGACGGTCGGGATGGGACGCGCGTGGTTCGAATCCTCGCCCGCGGCGGCGCAGACGTTCGGCGCGGCTGACGAGATCCTGGGCGATTCCCTCGGGGTGAAGCTGAGCACGCTCTGCTTCGAGGGGCCCGAGGAGCGTCTCAACAAGACGGACGCGGCGCAGCCGGCGCTGTTCGTGTGCGGCGTGGCGAGTTTTCAGGCGCTGTTCAGCGGTGAGGCGAAGGATTCGTTCGACGCGATGGCTGGGCTGAGCCTGGGCGAGTACACGGCGCTGCACCTGGCGGGGGCGCTGAGCTTCGAGGACGGGCTGCGGCTGGTCGCGCTGCGCGGGCAGGCGATGCAGGAGGCCGCCGAAGCGAGCGACGGCGGGATGGTGGCGGTGATCGGGGCGGAGGAGGACGCGGTCGCGGAGTTGTGCGACGCGGCGCGGGGCGGCGACGTGCTCGTGCCGGCGAACTTCAACGCGCCGGGGCAGATCGTGATCAGCGGGTCGAGCGTCGCGTGCGACCGGGCGGTGGAGCTGGCGGGCGAGCGTGGGATGCGGGTGAGCAAGCTGAGCGTCGCGGGCGCGTTCCATTCGCCCTTGATGGAGCCGGCCGCGGAGCGACTGCGTTCGGCGCTGTCGAGCGTGGAGATGCGGGCGCCGTGGTGCGACGTGGTGTCGAACGTGACGGCCGAGCCGCACGATGCGGACCCGGGTTCGATCGCGGATCGTCTTGTCGAGCAGCTGACGAGCCCGGTACGATGGTCGCAGTCCTGCGGCTGGCTCGCGGGCCGTTTTTCCGGGTCTTCGTACCATGAACTGGCGCCGGGGAAAGTGCTCTCCGGTCTGATGCGCCGCATCGAACGATCGATCAAGGTGGAGAACCATGATTCGCCGAGCTGAATCCCGTTGGTCTGTCGGACGTCGCGCGGTCGCGCTGGGTCTCGGCGTGGTGCTGGTGTCGCTGGTCTCGTGCGGCGAGGAGCCGGAGGCGGAGCAGCAGCGCGTCGTCGTGGCGCCCCCCCCGCCGCCGCCGTCGCCGCTCGAGGAGATCCGGCTGAACCCCAAGGTGGAGTTCCCGGAGCAGTACGAGCCCTCGACGGTGGAGATCGCGGAGGCGGTGGCGGAGTTCGCGGCGGCGTTCGCGGTGGGCAGCGCCAACGCGGCCGAGTCGTACCTGATGCCGGCGGACCGCGCGGTGCTGGATCGCTTGCGGGAGCGCGGCGACTGGTCGGAGACGACGGGGAGCATCGAGCTGGTGCGGATCGTCGGGCTGGAGGAGGTCGAGGCGTCGGGCGAGCTGCGGGTGGGGTTCGGGGTGCAGGCCGAGGGCGGGGCGTACCTGCTCGGGTGGCGTGGCGTTCGGGACGGCTCGTCGTGGCGATTCACGGCGCTGCCGATCGGCTCGCGGACGGCGGCGAGCGCGCGGGCGCTTGACGGCGCGGACCTCTCGGGCCGCTGATTACGGGACATCGACGGGTGCGCCCTTGCGGCGCGTCTCTGAGTGAAAGGTTTCGCACGTGAGTGAATCAGGCGAGAACGTGGCGCGCGTCGCGGTGGTGACGGGCGCGAGCCGGGGGATCGGTCGGGCGATCGCGACGCGTCTGGCGTCGGACGGGCGTCACGTCGTGCTCGCGAGCCGGAGCGAGAGCCCGCTGAATGAGCTCAAGGGCGAGATCGAGGGCGCGGGGGGCTCGGCGAGCGTGCACACGGTGGACATGGGCGACGGGGAGTCGGTCGCCGGGCTGATCGAGACGGTCGCGAACGAGTTCGGCCGGCTCGACGTGCTCGTGAACAACGCGGGGATCACGCGGGACAACCTCTCGCTGCGGATGAGCGACGAGGAATTCGACGAGGTGATCGGCGTGAACCTGCGCGGCGTGTTCGTCGCGTGCCGCGCGGCGGCGCGTCCGATGATGCGCGGACGCTTCGGGCGGATCGTGAACATCGGGTCGACGTCGGGGCTGGTGGGGAACCCGGGGCAGGCGAACTACGCGGCCGCGAAGGCGGGCGTGATCGGGATGACGAAGTCGCTCGCCCGTGAGCTGGGGTCGAAGGGGATCACGGCGAACGTGGTGGCGCCGGGGTTCATCCAGACTGAGATGACGGCGAACCTGGGTGACGCGGTGCTGGGGAAGGTGAAGGAATCGGTGGTGGTGGGCCGTCTGGGGATCCCTGAGGACATCGCGTCGGCGGTGAGCTATCTCTCGAGCGACGAGGCGGGGTACGTGACGGGGCAGGTGCTGACGGTGGATGGCGGCCTGACGATGTGCTAATGGCCACTAACCGCGGGGCCGCGGACACGGAAGTGTCCCGGGGTTGCGGCGGGATGGATTGATGGGCGAGCAATCGCTATATTGGAACGCTTGTACGCACGAATGATCGCCCGGTGGACGTTCGTCGGTTCGAACGGTTTGCGGGCCAGTCCGGTTTGGAGAAACTCACGTGACCGAGCAAGAAATCGAAGCCAAGGTGATCGATATTGTCGCCGACCAGATGAGCGTCGATAAGGGCCAGATCACGCGCGAAACGAGCTTCGTGAACGACCTGAACGCGGACAGCCTCGATGTTGTCGAGCTCGTGATGGAGTTCGAGGACGAGTTCGAGACGTCGATCCCGGACGACGAGGCGGAGAAGATCAAGACGGTCGGCGAGGCGGTGGATTTCATCGCGAAGTCGAAGCAGTCCGCCGGCGCGTAAGGGCCGGCGTGTGATCGTCGTGCGGGCGCGCTGGTCGCGCCCGGTCGAGCTCTGAGTGCACGCTCCGCGCGGCAGCGCCGCGCCGTCTCCACGGTCATCTATGGCATCAGATCCCTCAACCCGGCGCGTCGTGGTCACGGGCATCGGCGCGGTGACCAATCTCGGCGCGGACGCCCCTTCGACGTGGGACGCGATGAAGCGCGGCGCGAGCGGTATCTCGCGGATCGTCGGCGAGCCGCCGTTCGACGAGTGGGACGACTCACACTGGCCGGTGAAGATCGCCGGTCACATCCGCGGGTTCGATCCTTCCGCGGTGATCGACGGACGCGAGCAGAAAAAGCTGGACCGCTTCGCGCAGCTCGGCATGGTCGCGGGCGTCGAGGCGCACGCGTCGAGCGGGCTGGACCTCGATTCGATGGACCGGACGCGCGTCGGGGCGATCATCGGCTCGGGCGTGGGCGGGATCACGACGATCGAGCAGAGCGTCACCACGCTGAACAAGCGCGGCCCGACGCGGCTGAGCCCGTTCACGGTGCCCAAGCTCATGGCGAACGCGGTGGCGGGGAACCTCTCGATTCGCCTGGGACTGCGCGGACCGACGAGCTCGCACACGACGGCGTGCGCCTCGAGCGGACATTCGATGGGCGACGCGTACGAGACGATCAAGCGCGGGGCGGCGGACGTGATCTTCGCGGGCGGGAGCGAGGCGGCGGTGACGCCGCTGTGCCTCGGCTCGTTCATGGTCATGAAGGCGCTGTCGACGCGGAACGACGAGCCGACGAAGGCCTCGCGTCCGTTCGACACGGGTCGGGACGGGTTCGTGCTCGCGGAGGGGGCCGCGGTGCTCGTGCTCGAGGAACTCGAGCACGCGAAGGCCCGCGGGGCGACGATCCACGCGGAGCTGTGCGGGTACGCCTGCTCGACGGACGCGTCGCACATCACGGCGCCGGACCCCGAGGGCTCGGGCGCGAAGAACGCGATGCGCTGGGCGATGGCGGCGGCGGGGATCACGCCGGAGCAGGTGGACTACATCAACGCCCACGGGACGTCGACGCCCCTGGGCGACGTGGCGGAGATCAGCGCGGTGCTCTCGCTCTTCGGCGACCACGCGCGGAAGTCCGCGGGCGGGCAGCTCCGGCTCAGCTCGACGAAGTCGATGACCGGGCACTGCCTGGGCGCGTCCGGGGCGGTGGAGTCGGTGGCGTGCATCGGCGCGCTGCGTGAGGGGATCATCCCCCCCACCGTCAACCTCGACGACCCGGACGAGGCGTTCGACCTGCACCTGGTGCCGAACGAGGCGGAGGAGCGCGAGGTCCGGTACACGCTCAACAACACGTTCGGCTTCGGCGGGCACAACGTGAGCGTGGTCATGGGCCGGTACGACGGCTAGCGCGGGCAGGTCCGCTCCCGATTATTCGATGGCGAGGGGGATTCCGGCGATGGGGCTCATGGTCGGCGAGGCCGTGCGCCGATAGGTTGGGTGATGTCGGACCGCACCGAACGCATCCGGAAGCTCGAAGTGCCCATCATCGTGCTCCTCGGCGAGAAGACGATGCCGCTGAGCCAGGTCATGCGCCTGGGCCCGGGGTCGATCATCGAGCTGCCGAAGCCGGCGGACGAGAAGCTCGAGCTGATGGTGAACAACAAGGTGATCGGGCGGGGCGACGCGGTGAAGGTGGGCGAGAACTTCGGGCTCGAGATCACGGAGCGCGGCCAGAAGGCGGCGAAGGTGGAAGTGATCGAGGACGCGAACGAGATTCTCGGGAACGACGACATCGAGGCGCTGACGGCGTCGCTGCTCGCGAACTGAAACCGAACCGAATATGAGTGTGCGGTGTTGAGGATCGGCCCTGAATCCGTCAATATGGTCGCGTGCCCGCCCCGCATCGGTGCGTGCACCCGGAGGCACGCACCATGGCGAACGGCGGCGACGGCAAGTCACCCGGGCTCTTGAGCGATCTGTTCCAGACGAGGTACCGAGAGGTCACCATCAGCGCGATCGTCTTCGCGCTCGTCGTCGGGGCGGTGATGAACGCGGCAATCACGTACGCCGGCCTGAAGATCGGGTTCACGATCGGCGGCTCGGCGATCGCGGCGGTGCTCGGGTTCGGCGTTCTTCGCGGTTTGCTCCGCAAGGGCACGATCCTTGAGACGAACCTCGGGCAGACGGCGGCGTCGGCGATCAACACGTCCAACTCGGGCGTGATCTTCACGGTGCCGGTGCTGTTGCTGCTGGGCATCCCGCTCGCGGCGAACGGGACGGATTTCTGGCTGATCACGCTGGCGTGCGTCGCGGGGGCGATGCTGGGCACGGCGTTCATCATCCCTCTGCGGAAGCAGATGATCGAGATCGACCGGCTGCGGTTCCCGACGGGGACGGGCGTGGCGGTGATCCTCCGCTCGCCCGGCGCGGGGGCGAAGAAGGCGCTGGTGCTCGTGGGGGGGATCCTGGCGGGGGTGCTGATCTTCGCGCCGGTCGGGTTGCCGCAGCTCGGTGAGAACTACGGCATCGAGGCGCTGGCGAACTTCAGCTACACGAACATCGGCAACGCGATCTTCGGGAGCGGCCAGCAGGTCGTCGTCGGCGAGGACATCAACGTCGGTCGCCTGTTCGGCATCCCGCTGCAGTGGGAGGTGCTCTTCGCGATCGCGCCGTTCGCGCTTGGGGCGGGGTACATCACGGGGCGGGCGGGCCTGCTGGTGCTCGCGGGCGGGGTGCTGGCGTACTGGATCCTGACGCCGCTGGCGTTCCAGCTCGGGTGGATGCCCGAGACGGTGATCGCGAAGCCGGAGCTGGCGGGGCCGTACGGCTTCCTGGCGTTCAACCGGCCGCTCGGTATCGGTCTGCTGCTGGGCGGGGCGATGATGGGCGTGGTGATGAGCCTGCCGGCGATCGGCGCGGCGTTGAAGAGCATCGCGGCGGCGAGCGGTGCGGTCGGGGGCGGGAGCGACGAGCTCGGCCTCAAGCCGCTCATCGTTGCGGCGATCGGTGCGTTCATCCTGCTCTTCGCGGCGGCGAACTTCGTGGGCAACAAGCCGTTCAACACCGTCGATCCGGTCACGGGCACGAGCTTCGTGACGCAGGGCGAGGTGCAGGGCGTCGAGATCGTCGAGACGCGGGACTTCGGGGGGTACGCGGTCGGGTTCGAATCGGCCGAGACCGCGTCGGCGTGGGACGGCTGGGACGAGTCGCAGCGTGCGGCGTTCCTCGCGGACAACAACGCGAAACGGGGTTGGCTCTCGTCGCTGCCGCCGATGGTCCGCGCCGGGATGATCGCGCTGATCGGGGGGCTGTGGATCTGGTTCGCGGGGATCATCATCGCGCAGTGCACGGGGATGACGGACTGGTCACCGATCTCGGGCATGGCGCTGATCACGGTGGTGCTTGTGATGATGCTCGCGGGGACGGGGGCGGTGATCGGGGCGGTGCTCATCGGCGCGGCGCTGTGCGTGGCGATCACGCTCGCGGCGGACATGATGCAGGACCTGCGGACGGGCCACCTCGTCGGCGCGAAGCCGAAGCGTCAGCAGACGATCGAGCTGTGCGTGGTGTGGATCGGCCCGGCGATCACGATGGCGACCATCCTGATCATCTCGCAGGGCAACCTGGCGCAGTTCGGCGTGCCCATCGGCCCGGGGACGCCCACCGCGGCGCCGCAGGCGCAGGCGCTTCAGGCGGTGATCACGGGCGTGCAGGGCGGCGAGCTTCCGTACGCGTTGTACGGCTTCGGGGCGTTGATCGGGGCCCTGCTCGGCCTCGGAGCGTTCAGCGGGCTCGGCGTGCTGATCGGGCTCTCGATGTACCTGCCCTTCCATTACATCGCGACGTACGGCGTCGGCTGCGTGATCCAGATGTTCCTCTCCAAGGTCAAGGGCCGGGCGTGGGCGGAGGACTGGGGCGTGCCGGCCGCGGCGGGCCTGATCGTGGGCGAGTCGATCTTCGCGCTCGTCGTCAACCTCATCATCGTGCTCATTCCGGCCGCGGGCGCCTAAGGACGGTTCACCATGAAGCTCATCGCCTATCTGATCATGACCGTCTGCCTCTGCCTCGGGACGCTCGCGGCGACGGTGGCGTACTCGCCGAAGCTTTCGATGCCCGACGAGATGCTGCTGACGACCCCACCGCTGACGCTGAACGCGGAGGCGGGCGTGGCGTCGTTTGGCGAGAACGCGGGGCTCATCCCGATCGCGCAGGGTCGCCCGTCGATCACGCCGTTCGTGATCGAGACGACGCTCGGCTCGCCGACGGCGGTCTCGTCGCAGTGGAAGAGCGAGGACGGGTTCGATGGGGCCCGGTCGCTCTCGTTTGCGCGGGCCTCGGGGCTGTTGATCCAGACGGACGCGGAGATGTGGGACGAGCACGGCGCGTCGCCGGAGGGGTACTCGCACTTCCTGGTGGCGACGGGGCTGCTGGGTCGGGAGATCGAGCCGATCCGGACCCAGTACGAGAAAGATCGATTCTTCATCCGGGCACTCGGTGACGAGCCGATTGTCGACGCCTTCGAGGTGTGGCTTGAAGCGCTCAAGGCTGAGGAATCGGCGGAGGGCGGCTCGACCGTCACGCGGCCGGTCCTCGCGGGCTTCGAGCAGGACGAGAAATTCCATCGCTACTGGCGCGAATGGGGGAAGGAACTCCTCGAAGCGCGGAAGGCGGATCGAGAGAAGGAGATCGTCAACGCTCTCAAGGCTCAACCCGAGGCGGCTCGCGCGCTGCAGGAGTCCGTCAATGCCGCGGCGCGTGACACGGATCTCGATGCGTTCGTCGGCGCGCTCGACGACGGCCACCCGGCGTACCCGCTCCGCGACGTGCTCGGCCGGGCGCTGGAGTTTGAGAATCTCAAGCTCTGGACGAAGGATGCTGTCAGCGCAGTGGAGAAGAAGGAAGCCGAAGCCGAGGCGTACGAGGCGCTGAGCGAGGCCGAGAAGGTGGCGCACGACGAGAAGAAGGAAGCGGAGAAGGATCCCCGCCCGGACGCTGCGTCGCCCGCGTACCCGCCGGCGATCGCGTGGCTCGATCACGGCGTGGTTGTCGGGATCGTCCCGAACGAGGCGGGCTCGGCGTTCGAGCCGGTGCTCGCGGACGCGGCGCTGGCGCACTCATATCTCTCGGCGCTGTCGCTCTCCGACGGCGCTGTCGGGCGGCTCGCGCCGGCGGGGATCTTCACGGCCGAGCGGCGCGCCGACCTCGACGTGTCGGACGACGCGCTGCTGACCGGTCCGATCGACGGCCTCGCGGCCGCGCCGATGCTGGACGCGAACATGGAGATCACGCCGACGCAGCTCGCGCTGATGCGCGGGGCGGGCGTGGAGCGGGTGCGGATCAAGGAGTTCAGCTTCGCGCGGTGGGACATGGCTTGGATGATGGGCGTCGCCTGCCTCGGGCTCGGGATCGCGGCGTTCATGGTGAAGATGGCGACGCGCAAGGAGATCCAGGCGGAGCTCGCGCAGCCCTCGTCGCACGAGGACTCGCCCGGCAAGTCGCTCGAGCGCGTGGTCGCGACGGTGGACGAGCTTGTCCGCGTGGTCAACTCGTCGGACGACGACGCGATGCGGAACCACCTGGTGATCGAGAAGATCGGCGCCCTGCAGAAGAACGAGCTGGCCAACCTCGCGGACTCGCGGACGACGCTCGTCGCGGTGCTCACGCTCACTGGTTACGCGCAGTTCATGGACCGCTTCAGCATGATGGAGCGGCTGCTCAACCGCGCGTGGTCGGCCGCGGCCGACGAGGTGACGGCCGAGGCGGTGCTGTGCCTGAACGAGGCGCAGGAGCTGATGCCACAGGTTGTGGCGGCGATGAAGCCGAGTTCCTGAGCTCAGCCTCGCCCGTCCATCATGCGCCACGCGGCACCGAGGACCGAGCCCTCGCCCTTGTGCGAGCCGCCGCTGCTCGGGGCGCTCGCGATGATCCGGTCGGCGAGGCGTGAGAAGGGGAGCGTCTGCATCCAGACGGCTCCGGGGCCGGTCATCTTGACGTAGAAGAGGCCCTCGCCGCCGAAGAGCTTGTTCTTGATGCCCGGGACGAACTCGATGGTGTAGTCGACGCTCGGCTCGAAGGCGACGAGGCAGCCGGTGTCGACGCGGAGGACCTGACCCGGCTCGAGCTCCTCGCGGACGACGGTGCCGCCGGCGTGGAAGAAGGCGGTGGCGTCCATGTCGCCGGCTGGGGCGGTGATCTTCTGGAGGATGAAGCCCTCGCCGCCGAAGAATCCGGCGCCGAGTTTCTTGGTGAAGGCGATGTCCACCTCGACGCCGCGGGCGGCGCAGAGGAAGGCGTCTTTCTGGCAGAGGAGGGTGCCGCCGAACTCTCCCAGCTTCACGGGGATGACGTGGCCGGGGTAGGGCGAGGCGAAGGCGACGTCGCGCCGGTCGCTGGCGTTGTTGGCGAACATGGTGATGAAGAAGGACTCGCCGGCGACGATGCGTTTGCCGGCCTCGAAGAGCTTGCCGAAGACGCCGCCGCCGTCTCGCTTCATGGAGAGGGAGGTGCCCATCTCGATGCCGTCCTGCATGTACATCATGGCGCCGGCCTCGGCGACGACGGCTTCCTGGGGGTCGAGGGTGATGACGACGGCCTGGAGGTCGTCGCCGATGATCACGTGGTCGATGACGTCGGCGTTGGGCATGGTTTTCCTTTTTCTGACGGATTTCGGCGGCAGGGGTGTATGCTAGCGTCGACGCTCGCACGGAGGTTCTGACATGCACAAGCGGACGATCGCGTTGGCCGCGTTGGCGGTGGTGTGTTGTGTTGTTCTGGGAATCGCCCCGGCGGTTTCAACCGCGGGCGACGAGACGAAAGACGCGGGTTCACCGGCGTTGACGCTCGCCGACCTGGCGTGGCTCGGCGGGTCGTGGGCGAAGGACGAGGACGGCCAGTTCGCGGAGGAGATGTGGGGCGCCGGTTCGGGCGGGGCGATGATGGGCGTGTTCCGGTGGGTCGTGGAGGGGCGGACACTCGTGTACGAGATGCTCGTGATCCGGGAGCGCGAGGGGGAGGTGGAGATGCTCATGCGCCATTTCTCCGACGAGCTGGTCGCGTGGGAGAGCAGGACGCTCGTGTTCGATGTCGTGGAATCGGGCGAGCGGCGCGTCGTTTTCCTGTTCGACGGGGACGCGGATCACGTGAACACGACGATCCGCATCGAGTACTCGCGCGAGGGCGACGTGCTGACGTCGGACGTGGCGATCAAGTCGGACACGCGGGACGATCGGTTCGTGCTTGAGCTTGCGAAGCACTGAGCGACTGTTCGCTCAGCGGTACTCGATCTCGACGGTCGGTTTGCCGGAGGGGTCGGTGCGCCAGGCGCCCCGGATTTCGATCTCGAGGCCGACGACGCGGACGGTGGGGAGATCTCCCGGGCGGCTCGGGAGGAGCTCGAAGACCGGTCTCGTGCGCGCGCCGTCGGGGATCGGGACGGTGAAGACGGTGGGGTCGAGGCTCGAGATGACGCGTTTGAGGCCGTGGGAGGAGGTATGGACCTCGAACTCGCGGAGGCGGAGCTCTTCGATGAGCTGGGGGAGGGTCTCGACGCGGACGCCCATGCCGTCGAGGGCGCGGATGCCCCGCATGAGGAAGTCGACGCGCTCGCCTGCGGTGGAAATGGGGTCGGGCTCGAGGGTGTCGACCCAGCGGAGCCAGGCGTTCTCGAAAGCGGCGGTGTCGGCGGCGCCGAAGGCGCGCTCGAAGGCGGCGAGCGAACCCGTCCCCTCGGCGACGAGCTTGAGGTAACGCTCGTAGGCGCTGGCGTACTTGCCGCCGTCGGCGTGGGCGAGGAAGTGGGTCATGAGCCACGCCTGGTCGTAGAGGAGCGAGGCGTTGGGCCCGCCGCGACGGACGATCTCGCTCCACTGCTCGTTGGTCATCGAGAGCATCTCGGGGAAGGCGTACCAGTAGTCGTTGCGGACGGCCATGCGGACGCGCTCGAGCGGCGCGGCGGGCGCGAAGCCGACTCTCAGCCGCCCTCCCACCCCCCCGACCATGACGCCGTGGCCGAAGTACTCGGCGAGGCCCTCGTTGGCCCAGATGGGCAGGTCGCGTCCGATGCGGGAATGGGCGAACTGGTGGAAGCCCTCGTGGCGGAGTGTGGAGAGCATCTGCTCGCGGGGCTGGCCGCTCAGGTAGGTGGCGAGGCCGGTCTCGCCGGCGCGGGAGAAGAAGACGCCGGCGGTGTTCGTGGCGTCGAAGCCGACCTTGTCGAGGAAACGGAGGTAGGCCTGTTCGGACTCGAAGAGGAAGAGGGTGGAGGCGTCGTCGCGCTGGGCCTCGAAGGTGCGCAGGCGGGCGGTGTACTCGGCGAAGACGCGGTCCATGTAGTCCGCGATCTCGGCGGCGGTGGCGTCGTCGGTGTCGGTCACGACGCGGTAGAAGCGCGTGTTGAAGGTGCGGACGCTCTCGGCGAGGGCGCTGGGCGCGAGGCACGCGAGGGCGAGGCAGAGGGCGAGGAACGCGCGGGCGTGGGTTCTCGTCATGCCCGGATTGTAGCCCTGTGGGGCGGGGAATCAGCCGAGTTTTTCGGTGGCGAGGGCGCGGGCGGCGTCGAGGGCGTCGGGGGCCTTGGCGGGGTCGGTGCCGCCGCCCTGGGCGGAATCGGGGCGTCCGCCGCCCTTGCCGCCGCAGGCCTGGGCCGCGGCGCGGACCCAGTCGCCCGCCTTGAGGCCTTTGGCGATGAGCGCGTCGGGGACCTTCGCGACGATGACGACCTTGCCCTCGGCGGCGTCGACGGAGAGGAGCATGGCTGCGGCGTCCGCGTGTTTGGCGCGGACGACGTCCATCGCGGCGAGCATGGCGTCGCGGTCGCCGCCGGCGTCGATCTGGGCGATCACGGCGGGGAGGCCCGGGAGGGGCTCGAGCTCGCGGGCGGCGTCGACGGCCTGCTCGCGTCCGGCGCTGGCCGCGGCTTTGCCGGCCTTCTTGACGCGATTGCGGAGGGCGTCGATTTGCGCACGGAGGCGAAGCTTGTTCACCAGTGGGATGGTCGCTTCCTCGACGGTGTTCGCGAGTTCGCTCACGGCGGGCGCGAGCTTGGCGTCGTCGAGGGCTTCGGTGCGCTTCGCGTTCGCTTCGAGGGCGTGGGCGAGGTCGATGGCGTTCTTCGCCTCGTCGCCCGTCACGCACATGACGCGACGGACACCCTTGGCGACGCCTTCTTCGCTCAGCAGCGCGAAGTGGCCCGCCTCGCCGGTTTGGCCGAGGTGGGTGCCGCCGCAGAACTCGATGGAGTGCTTCGACCACTCGGGGTTGTCTGGGTTGCTGATGAGTTCGTCGACGGTGGGCCCGATGGCCACGACGCGGACGGGGTCGGGGTAGACCTCGCCGAAGACGGCGCGGAGGCCGGAGACGGCTTTCGCCTGGGCGAGCGGGGCTTCCTTCGTGTTGACGGGGAGGTCCTGCTCGATGATGCCGCGGACGGCCTGTTCGACGTGCTGGGCGGACTTGGCATCGAGGCCCTTGGACGCGCTGTAGTCGAAGCGGAGCTTGTCCGGCGCGACGAGCGAGCCCTTCTGGTCGACGTTCTCGCCCAGCTCGTGGCGGAGGGCGAGGTTGACGAGGTGTGTCGCGGTGTGGTTGGCGCGGACCTGGTTGCGGCGCTGCTGGTCGACGCGGAGCTCGAAATCGTGGCCCACGCGGATCTCGCCCTTGCGGAGGGTGCCGATGTGGATGACGTAGCCGCCGGACTCCTGCACGTCCTCGACGGCGAACTCGCCCTCGGACGAGGCGATGCGTCCGGTGTCGGCGACCTGGCCGCCGCGCTCGGGGTAGAAGTTGGTTTTGTCGAGGACGATGGCGAAGCGGTCGGTGGGGCGCGAGGTGGATGAGTTGAGGTTCTCGTCGAAGTCGTTGCCGTTCCAGATGGCCTTGACCTTGGCGCGGATCTTGACGTTGTTGTACTTCGCGGATTCGTCGGTGGGCTTGACGTTCCACTTGGCGAGCGAGCTGACGGCGCTGCCGGGGAGCATGAGGCCGGTGCCGGCCTTGCCGCCGCCGCCCTTGCGGGAGCGTTCTTTCGCCTCGTTCATGAGGCGCTCGAAGCCGTCGGTGTCGACGGCCATGCCCCGTTCCTCGGCCATGAGGATGGTGAGGTCGACGGGGAAGCCGTAGGTGTCGTGGAGCTTGAAGGCGGCCTCGGCGGGGACGGTCTTCGCGCCGTCGCCGGTCGCGTCGTTGAAGAGGCGGATCCCGGATTCGAGCGTGCGTCGGAAGGCCTCTTCCTCGTCGTTGATCACGGCGATGACGTGGTCCTGCTTGGCCCTGATCTCGGGGAACGCTCCGGACATGGTCTCGACGACGGTCGGGACGAGTTTGGCGAGGAAGGGCTCTTTGACGTCGAGCGTCTGGTAGCCGTAGCGCACGGCGCGGCGGAGGATGCGGCGGAGGACGTAGCCGCGCCCGTCGTTGGAGGGCTCGGCGCCGTCGGCGATGGCGAAGGTGAGGCAGCGGGCGTGGTCGGCGAGGACGCGGTAGGCGACGTCGGTCGGATTCGTGAGCGAGCCGGTGTAGGCGGGTGCGCCGGTGACGTCTTTGATGCGCGCGAAGAGGGTGGTGAAGAGGTCGGTGTCGTAGTTCGAGCTCTTGCCCTGGAGGACGCGGGTGATGCGCTCCAGGCCCATGCCCGTGTCGACGTGCTTGGCCGGGAGGTTCTCGAGCCTGCCGCCCTCGAGGCGATTCATCTGGATGAAGACGAGGTTCCAGATCTCGATGACGTCCGGGTGGTCGCGGTTGACGAGCTGGTAGCCGGGGACTTTGGCGCGCTCCTCGTCGGAGCGTCCGTCGTAGTGGATCTCGGAGCAGGGGCCGCAGGGACCGGTGTCGCCCATTTCCCAGAAGTTGTCCTTGGTGTTGCCGGGGATGACGCGCTCGGCGGGGAGGTACTTGAGCCAGAGGTCGTAGGCCTCGCGGTCGGGGTCGAGGCCCTGGGCCTTGTCGCCCTCGAAGTAGGTGGCGTAGAGGCGCGAGGGGTCGACGCCCCAGATGTCGGTGAGGAGCTCCCACGCCCACTGGATGGCCTCGGCCTTGAAGAAGTCGCCGAAGGACCAGTTGCCGAGC